CTGCATTCTCCTCACTCCTAACTTTCAAGTTAACAAATTCATTGGCAACTAAGACACTGTCATCTATATGTTTGTTGCTTACAAAAGCACCTTGATAGCTGGAAATCAGAGAGCTCATGACCTTCCTTAATCTTGTAGCTAGCACTTTAGCCATGATCTTATAAACACTCCCTAACAAGCTGATGGGTCTGAAATCTTTCAGCTCTTCGGCTCCATTCTTAGGGACTAAGGAGATGAAGGTTGAATTCAGACTCCTCTCAAAAGTCACCGAAGTATGGAGTTCCTCAAAGACTTTTCGAAAATCTTGTTTGACTAGCTCCCAATATTTTTTAAAGAAACAGATGGTAAAACCATCGGGTCCAGGAGGCTTCTCCCCTTCCAGCTCATCCACAGCTTTCTTGATTTCAACCTCTGAGAAAGGCTTTTCCATCTCTTCTGCCTCTTGCCGAGAAAGGCTTTTGAAACTCAGCCCCCTCTTGCTTTGCCTAAATCTGCACTGTTCTTTGTATAAGTTCTCGTAGAAACTAACAGTAGCCTTCTCAATTTCTCTTTTCTCTTCCACCTCACAACCATCTATAACCAGCCTCGAAATTGAGTTAACTCTCTGTCTTTCATTGGCCATTTTGTGGAAGAAGGCAGTATTACTGTCGCCTGCCTTTAACCACTTGATTCTTGATCTTTGCCTCCACTTGACCTCCTCCTGAAAAGCCAACACATTAAAATTCTTTTTAACAAGCAACCTTTTCAGCCTTTGGTCTTCCCCCAAGGGACACCTGCTTCTTCCAGAAGGTCCAATTCCTTAGGGCCCGTTTGGCACATCTTTTTGGGAACATTTTCTGGTAGCTCTGACATGCAAAAGACGCATTAAGCTTTTGCATGAAAATCTGAGCAGCCTGAAGCACATTTGGCAGATGCACGTCTTTCTGTGCGTCTTTCTATGTCTTTCCGCACGAGAATATAACGCGAAAAGCTTCATTTGAAGCTTCCCGAAATCAGCCCAAAATGGGCTTCTCGCGTCTTTTCGGCGCTCCGTCTTTTGGCGGCTAGGTCTTCCGCGAGCCAAACGAGAATAGACCGAAAATCGGTCTTCCCGGCTTGTAAACTGCCGAAAGACACACCAAACGGGCCCCTAATGATCTTCAGACATTCAGCTTGTTTTTATTTCATCAGCTTTCTGCCTATCCTTTTGTCACTCCTTTATTTTGCTTTTAATCCATTGGATCTTCATGAATGCCTTCAAAAGAAGCTTCAGCCCCCCACTTCTTGACAAAGGAATCAAACTCTTCCTCTCCCAGCCAATAGTGCTCCAACCTAAAAGGTTGACCCTGTCTTCTAATTCCATTTATGTTCAGCTGCAAGGGCACATTGTCTGAAACTGGTCTTGAAAGTGCTTGAATCGAATTGGGAAAGAGTTCCTCCATTTATTGGAAATTACAAACCTATCCAATCTGACCAGAGAAGGCTGATATTGATTGTTAATCCAAGTATAGGATGCCCAAGTCAGAGGCAGATCAATCAACTCCCATTTCTGCATGAAATCTGAAAATGACCGCATACCTCTATCTGATCTAGTGCACTCCTTTTTGTCTTCCACCCTTAGGATGGCATTGAAATCCCTACCAATTGTCCAGGGTCCACTCCGCGTCCTTCTCACACCCTTTAGTTCTGCCCAGAAAGCTCCTTTTAGGCTGGACTCAACGAGGCCATAAACTCCTGTCACAACCAAAGAAACATCATATGGGATCCAGTGCAGTCTAACTGAAACAGAAAATCTGCCGATCTCTTTATCTAGCCGCTTAAAGCTGCTTGTGTTCCAAATTACAGATACACCGCTAGCAGTGTTAACTGACGGTAGTGACAGCCAATCACATAGGCCAAAACCCCATACACTTCTCACTATTCTGGAGCTGAAATTTTGGAGTTTCATTTCCTGCAACAAAAGGATATCGGGTTTATTTTCCTTAAAAATTTCCCAATCATCAGTCTCCTACCAGAGCCAAGTACTCTCACATTCCATGAAATCAATTTCAAGTTCTCCATAAATTATCTTCTTACAGATCTGCTATTTCGGCCCCCCGCCCCTACACCATCATTAAGGCCTCGGGCACAGAAGCAACAACTCTTTAGATTGCCTCCAGTTCTTCTTGCCCTTCTCCATTAAGTGTTTATTCTCAATTGCAACCAACAAAGCTTGTGTTTCATCCTCCAAAACTCTTATAGAGATACCCAGAAACTCCCCAAACGACAACAGCTTAGACAGCACCCACGCCGATACGTCTTCCCCCTTTGCATACCTTAGGCTAACCATCAGATGCTGAGACACTGCATGGGGACCAACAACTTCTTTGTTTCCTGGTAAAATCATTGCTAATGGTTCCTGGAAGACAGGTGATGAACCTTCTAACGCAGTCAAAGACCCTGCCATAACTGAGTCTTCCATATTCCTTTGCAACAAAACACTGTCCATAGAACTCTTTTCTATATCCAGGCTAAGAGGATCACCTCCTTGTCCACTCTCCCACCCCCACCCACCCACTAAAGGCCTCTGTCCTTTCTAGGCCCCTATCTGAGCCACCATAGACGAAGAGCTCAGTTCCATCTGTGTCTCTTGCCTCAAGGTTTTACTTCTAGACCAGCTTTCTATGTAGGTTGAGATAAAACTATTGTCATCCTGTGAGAAAGGTTCTTCTGTGTTTGGCTCTTTTGAAGCAGACACTGCCACCTCTTTCCCCTTTCTTCATCCTTGCACCGAAGGCTTTCCCTTAAACACCATTCTATGAGTGCTTTTAAACCAAACTGGGCCAAGCCCACTAGGATGATTTGTTTGACTCGGTTCGCCCGAAATAGCCAATTCCAAATCCCACCCCTTCGACTTGAACCGATCCAAAACCGTGCCTGCTAAGCAGTCTAAAAAGGACTCTTCGTTCGCTACTTCTAGGTTTTTCAAAATTTGAAAAGATTTAAACCCCTTTCTCAAGTTAGTCCGACGTGCCTTTCCTTCTTGATCATTCGATCCAAAGTCCATCATACGGTTCTAGTGTTTCTTCCTCCTCCTTCCCCTAACTGTCAGCCAACCATCTTCTTCTCTAGCTTTGGCACTGTCATGAGACCAAGAAACTTCCAAAGTGGTCGAACACTCCTCCGCCTGCTGCTCTAAACCACCAGAGTTTTCCAACCTCCCTTTGGTGTTGTCAGCTATGGAGAAGCCTGCCAAAGCTTGTTGAATCAGATTCTACTCGACTTGTACCGCTTTAGCAAAATCCGCTGGCACCGGCATCTTTTCCAGCTTTATCTCTGGCCAGATTGTAACCACATACATTGAATTACCCACTACTACATTAACCGTCAGGGGAGGTACCCCTGACCAGCGCCCATTTACCCAAAAAACTCTGCACTACCTTTACCAGCTTCAAAGTTATCAGCTTCCAAAAAGCTTCCATAGAGGTCCCCTATGCCTCTAGCAAGGTTTGTGCTCCAAAGGTGTAACGGCAAACCATAGACCCTTACCCACACAAAACCAGGTATATCCTTGGAGGATTGCCAAGTTCCAGACAAGACTGACCAATGTTCGAGGTGCAATAGAGAACCTTTGAAACATCTGGAGCCAAAGTTCAACACTCTTCTAGCATCTTTCTAAGAAGGGAGGAAGAGCCAATACTCTTCATCAAACCTGTGCACCTCAATTGCTTTCGAACAACCCCAAGCTTTAAACGCCCATTGACCTACCTCCTCCACCCTGAAGTCTTTTCGGTCAAAACATCGGACCAAGCACGTATGAACAAAATCCTTCCACCTTTCCACTCCTTCGGCATCTACTTCCAGGAAAAAGTGTTGATAGTTAGCTTTAATGCTCACCTTACCTTCTGACGACCAAACCCAAGGGTAACCATTCTTTTCGGCCTGCCCCCACGTTTCTCTTAAGGGAAAACATTCCCGCTTTTGATCAAGATACCCTTGGTCCCATCTTTTGACAGCGGCAAAAGCCATTCCTTTCAGTAGGTTGCCGCCTGCGAGATCTTTTGTCGCCAACAAAAGCCATCAATGCTGACTAAGTCACATCTTGGAGATGAGAAAACCAAGGAGTTCACATCTTGGTGTTACTTTCCATCAAGAGTCTATTCACATTTTGTTGAAGCACCAGAATGAAGTAGAACCCCCCCCCCTTGCAAATGCTTTATCATCCTTTACAAGTTATTCTTCATCAAACAACATTTGATTCTTAATCTTAAAATATAACAAACCACAACTAAAATCACAAAAAAAAATTAATAATTATTTAAATATTATAATGGAATTATACCGGTTTGGGTCAACTTTTGGCTTGGTAAGTCGATTCAAAAGATTTAAACTTTAAAAAAATTACAATGGTATTATAATGGAATTATATGGTCAGGTCGGTTTGGTTTTGGCCGATTTACAAATGGCCAAAAACCGAAACCGAGTTGACCTGGTCAGGTTGGGAAATTGTTGAACTAAAAACCCACCAAAAATATTAGAAAACCGACCAACTCGACCTGGTCAATTTGATTGGTTTAACTAGTTTGATGAGAAACCCTATCTGAATTTAATTATTGTTATTTTTGTATTGTAAAAAAAATATTAAAAGTAGTATATAAAATATAACTAATTATTAATATTCAAAAAGTTAAAATATAAAACAATTATTTACTCTTATATGCTTCTATTGTTTAGCTTTCTCTTAATAAAGCTCGTGCGACCCTACTAGCAGTTTAACTAAACGATATTTCTTTCTTTTAGTGGATAAACCAATTAAATAATAAAATGCATAAGGTGTAATTATCAACTTAATTTTAGCTTTGGCAAATAAGTTGTTCAATTCAATAATATCCAACCTTTTATACAATTTGGGTATACACCATACAGTTGATATGTCCATGAATTGCATATGACAGGGAACTGCCAAGAACATTAGGGCATAATTCTGGTTATTGCATCACATGAAACTTTTAATGAACATTATGAGGTGCCTGAATCATTACCTCCAGATAGAATACGCACAGATGCACCAGAGTTCTCTTGTATTGACTTTATTAGAGAACCTTGCTTTCCAATTAGATTAATTGCTTGTGATGATGCTACCAATAGCCGAACTGAACACATTGCACTTCCAGCAGTAGTTGAATTTCCACCCTCACCGTCACTATCAGACAAGCCATGAACACGTCTAAATACTCTTAATGCAGCATCCATTGCAGGGGATAGTTGTGCTTCAAGCTCTTCCTTTCCCGATACCAGGACCTGGAAAAAAAATCATAGAATATGTAAATTACATAAACATAGACAAAGTGTTGAACATGAAATGTGCAAAAAAATTGATGTCTAGGACAGACAAGGTAGATATGTTCATGCAATAATAATGAAAATATGTGGATGGCTTCAATCATGATCTATATGCAAAATTGCTTGGATAAACTAATTGTCTCAAGAAAACAATATAAATTTGGAAGAAAAGTGCCAACAGAAAGAAAAACAAGAATTGAATACTCATAAATAGAAAACCTAGATACGAGCATTAAATCTAAATCTCAAGATTCAAAGAACCAAAACCAAGGCTTTCTTTTATGTCATACAACAAACAAAGCAGGCAAAAGAAGGAAACCACAAACTCTTAGTCCTCCAGACATAAGAAAGAAGTTAAACAAGGAGACAAAAATACAGAAGTTAGAAGGATATAAAGCTAACGAATGAAGATGCCCTGCAATATAACTTCTATAACACAATGAAAATGACCTGCATTCTCTATAGCTGGGGACAAAGTCCAAAGCCCAAATGGTTTTTTATTGCATTTTTCCAGGGAAGTTCTGATGACACAAATCAAAATAGAGTAGCACATCTCTACAATCTAGTCCAACATTAGAAAAATGCTTTAGATAAGGTAAAGTAGAAAGCATAGACAGTGGCAAGACAAGAGCAAGACCAAGCAACAGGATATGCCTTGTCATCAAAGGCAGGTAGCAATGGACCAGTTAAGTGATGATTTTTGACAAATAAGGCTTATGACTTTTTGGATATGATCCATGTTAACGTGGGCCATATTATCAATTTTATATTATTTTGCACTAAAAGAAATCCAGTAATAAATCATATCAAACACCATTAATCTCATTAACCTTTACTCATAAATTTCAGTATGCAATACACAATAGTATCAAATCTTTTAGAAAATAGTAACACTTAAAATCGTGAATTTTCATATAACAAGAATCCAATGAATAAGCAAAGCAACAAGCTGATAGAATGATGAATTTAAGCAAAATAGTAATACATGTCACTAAATCCAAGGAAACAACTAATGAACAGCCCACAACTCAACTCAACTCAGCCTTAAAACCAACTATTCGCCAATAATGCTCAGTCACTGATATATACATCATATAATCTTACCTCTCATAGAACACAAATAAAGTTCATTATAGAATGCAGCATAAGATAAGGTGCCTGCCTTGTCACCTCTTAGCCAAAAGAAGGTGCCTAAACATGCATGCAAATATGACTCAGTATAAAGGCACACCCCCTACCCAAAAACAAAAAGCCTGGTCACCTAAGCATCAACTTGATAATTATGCTAGCAAGTAACATTTACTTGCATGAAAATAAAGGCTGGAATAATGGTAATGTTTTTTAATAAGCAGTAAAAGAAATCCCATCCCACAATAATAACATAAATGAAGACAAGTAACAATAGAAATAAAACCAAACTAATCACCCCAGCCAATACTGAAGCAATAATTATATATAAAAACAACCAGATTTCCCTTTTCAAATTCCATTCACAAACACAAGATGGGCTTGGTGTTCACAAAGAAAGCTCAAAGCCTTCCTAAGCATCTGCACCTAACAACAAGCATAGTACAGGCCTACCAAGTGAAAAGAAAATCTGGTTTGTTTATCACAGAAATCTAGTTCTAGCAAAACAAGAGTTAGCATAAGTACATTTTGTGATTTTCCACACATGATTATGACAAGGGATTAAAATCTGTCTGGATACTGAAATACAACACTCTGTTCTGGCTTTGAGAAAAACTGGAGTGAAAGGATATAGAACATGACATTCCTAGAATTTTGGTATAAATTAAAAGCATGGGTAGTTCAAGAGAAGTACCTCAAATGCACCATGCTTGTGCACCTAATTGCACCTTTTAATACACCAAGGAAAACAGGATAAAATATAGATGGGTTTGACTATGATATAAAAAAGATATGATACCGGAAAAACAACTGACCAATAAACTGAAATCATAAACGTTGTAGCAAATAAGGTGTTTTTATCAAAATTCATGGATGGGTTTTGATTGGTCAAAACTCTTTCCATATCATATCTTATCTGCATCATAGATTTTCCCGATATAGATATTTATAGGTTATACAGAATCCTCCTTATTGGTGTAAAACATAGTTGTCAAGGCATCTAGGAAATTCTGAGCAACAGTGGGGCACCTAAGCGATAAGAATTTCGTAAAGTTTATGCCATTCAACAGTGGGGCATCTAAAATTTGCCTAAGTCCCTAGTTTTTTATGCCATTCAATATGAATATTAACTGAAAAAATAGCAGCTTTCTTTTGTTAAGAACGTTATAAGTCCTCTCAAAACATGGCAAATAATCATATCTAGGATAATAGTATTACAAATATATTAATTTCAATACTTTCAGAGACAGTACTAATATAATAAATATTTAATAGAGCAATTTCATATCAAATAAGTAAAGAAGGCTATAATTTTGTATGATAAAATTTAAGGTAGAAAGTAAAAGAGAAAAAGAACAATGGTAAAGCCGTAGTTTCTTCTATTCTTTATTTCCTTTCCTCTTCTTAAAACCCTTGGATCTTTTAAATTTGAATAGTAGAACCTTAAAACAACATATAAATGGCATATATAGTTTATACTACAATGTATTGGGCTATTAGCCAACATATTAGTAGCATATAGCAAATATGAATGAGATTATAATGAGGTGCCTTCCTTGTCATTTTTGTTGCCTAGGCAGGTGCCTTGTCGCCCAGAAGGGTGCCTAGCTGCCATAAGTCAGGTGCCTTGTCACCCAGCCAAGGGTGCCTATTAGTCAACACCTTGACAACTATGGTGTAAAATTAAAAAAATAATAATAATAAAAGAAGATGAACTATTAGACAACAATACAAAATAAGAAAATAGGATTTGTTTTTAAAGAGAGAGGAATGAAAAAAGTCAAGTGATAAAACCAAAGACGATCATTGCTTTATTAAAGTATTTTAAACATTTTAAAATTTTACTGCATCCCAAAAGTTCCACCAAAATTTCTTAAAATTTCCAGTAGCATGCCAACTAAAAACATAGTCAAATATATAAACTTAAGTCCCTTATAATTGATGATGATGATTACCATGATGACAACAGTGTCTAGCAATAGGCTACACTACATGATACAAATAACCTGGAAATCCTTCTTTTATTTAAAGACAATACACAAAAACCATAAATAGGTACAAAATTTTCAATGTAGGAAATAATTAAATAGGATGCTTCAAATGCTTCACTACTCCCAAGTATTAATGGGTTCTACTTCTAGTGCAAGAAGAAGAAGTCAACCTTACATCTGGGTATCTCCTCTATATGCTATTTTGACACAAAAAGCACCATACCTTTTTGTGAGAGAAAAGGTAAAGTACTTTATTAAGTAAGCTGAGCATAAATACAACCTTGCCCAATAAGACAATTAAAACCACCTTGTTTCATCCAGCTCTTTTAGAGCCTTCGACTTGCAACAAATCACTCCCTCTCATTTAAGATGCCATCTATCAACCATGCACAAATTAAAACTAAAACCATCACAATCAACTTCTCCATCATTCTGACACCTATTACAGTATTATGCCACTCCCAGATAATCACGAAGCAATTCAAACCAAAACCTTTCTGACTTCAGGATCTTTCTCACTCTCGATTCAAAAATTTACCCAAACTCATATATAGATTATAGGCTTTATATCTCTTTTTCACTACTGAAGTAGCTTCATTCATTAAAAAGCATCATTTTAAAAAATGACCCGGAAACGGAACCGTTCTGGCCATCGATTTCCGGGTCAACAGTCCAACCGTCTGGATCGAACGGATGGCCCGTTCTGACAACAAAATTAAAAAATAATTAAAAAAATAAAAAACGGTCAAAACCGTTGAACGGGTCGACAATTCGACCGCCCAGGTCAACGGTTTGTTGTCTTTTTCAACAGTTTTTTACCAGATTCTGGGTTTTGGGTAAAACGGAATTGGTTGCTTGGACGGATCCCGGGCCGAATGGTCCGACTATCTGGGTCAACGGTGGTTCGAAAACGTTGTTGAAAAGACAACTTAAATGACACCAATCTATGAGCTATGGGATTTAACTGTATACAGACAAAAGTAAAAGAAATATTGCCAATGGACTGAGAAAGAGCTTTTGCCTATGCAACCACTGGATGAATCCTCCATTGAATAGGTTGAGAGCGACTCAACATCAAAGAAATAACTGTCTAACAATCTCCCTCAATTAGAATAGCCAGACCATTAAACCTTCATGCTACTGAATCACCATCCTCAAGGCATTAGCTTCAGCCATCTCTGCATCAACTGCTGCTACTCGATCTGCCATTTCCCAGAAAAGATCCCCAACTACTTAGGAGGGGTTTGGCAAGTCTTTTCATGTGGCCTTTCAGGTTTTCCAAAGCTTGGAAGACCAAATTTTGGTCTCTCTATTTGGCAATTAATGATAGGAAGCCAGTAAAACGCATGCCCTAAAAAGCTCATGGAAGCCCAAAATGGCAAAAAAATGTAGAAGCTTCCTATCTTTCTGCACCTAAAATCTTTCATTTAACAGCTCTGTAGATCATGGTAGACTAGGATACTTACCAAACAGTCAATATCTTTAAAGACCAAACCCCAAAAGCTCATTAAATCTTTTGCCCATCTAGGCCATTGGTAGATCTTGCTCGTAATTGTCAAGGCAACACTTAGGTGGGAACCTAGGCAACTGAACGCTTTTTATTGCTCACGTCACCTAAACGCCAAACAATTCTATATCAAACTTAACACTACCTTACAATATTTTTATATATTCATATTTTTTATATTTTGATCTCATAATATTAACATAGGCAATGATACACCGTAACATCCTTTTTATTACTTCATAAATCAGCATGCATTTGTTAGTTTCTTTTCATATTAGGGTTCAAATGATACAGACCTCTTTACCAAAGAAGCAATAATGAACTGAATCTCACTGAAGTTCAAAGGCTTCGAAGACTTTGAAGACTTCAAAGAATTAAAAGAAAGAAGACTTAAAGCAACAAGTAACACCAGTCAAACACAGGTATCTTCTATCCCTCTCCTTAAATCTCTGATTATTTTCGTTTCTTTTTTGGAACAAAAGGAGGAGCTATCCATTTGATTTTTTTTCTTTCTATTTTTTGAAATGGTCATCATTTTCAAGTTTTTTTTCTTGATTTTTTTTAAACAAAAACAGGGGCTTCACTCCTCCTTCATATTTTTTTGTGTTTTTTCTTTCTCTTTTCTGAGACAGAAAAACGGGGCCTCTGCCCTTTCTTCTTATTTCTTTATCTTTTTCTTCTTTCTCTATGAAGAAAACAAAGCAGCCCCTTCTTTTACTGGGCGATAGTTATTTCTAACACACTATCCCTGAAACAGTAGGAAGAAAATAGTTATTTCTGGGACACTAGCCTTGAAACATTACAAAGAAAAGGTTTATTTCTGAGGCACAGGCCTTGAAGTACTAGGAGAAGAAATCTTACTTTTGAGACACCAGGCGGCGCCTAGACGACTAGACAACAAAGCTCTCCTTGTGCCTAGGTTCACCTTGGCGCCTTGAAAATCATGATCTTACTAAAAAGACTTGCCAAACGGCACCTTAATTGCCACGGAAGCTGCATCACCTACCCCATCTCTAAATGCACCATCAGAATAAATGTCCACATCACACTCAGTTTATTTTATATTACGCTCCCACATCTCTCGCCTTCCTTGTACAACCGGATGTTCAACAAGTGAAAATCTATACTCCCTAGGAAGTAATGGATATTATCCAAAGTAACTTGAGGTGTATAGGCAATACATCTTCATTGTTAGGGTTTAGGTAACCGTTTTTTCAATCTTGACAGGGGCAAGCAAAGTGGGAATCTCTTTTTCATCTGTAAAGAATTGTTGGATTGCAGCCTAGGCTTCAACCATTCGCAACCCACATTATTAAAAAACAATAATATTTTCTTGAGCAATTATTTAGAATACCTAATCCAATGATCAAAAGGCAATTTTTCAAATAAATTGGAGAAAACCCTAAAAAACAATTGAAAAAAAATTTACGGAAAAATAAGAGTAACAGGATCCTGAGAAAGAAAGAGAAATATGAACTCACGATACGATCAGAAGTGCCAATGGGTCCATCTAGAATGCGAACGCGAGCGCGAGTCTCCTCGCATATCTTCTTGACTAGTTCGCCCTTGCGACCGATGATGCTACCGACCTTAAGAACAGGGACTATGAGACGGAAAACGCTATTGCCAGGCCACCCAGGCCATTTCTTCTCGGCTGGCGTCGCCACCGGGGCCGGAACCGGGGCTTCTGGAGTTGCCGCCGTCTCTGGAGGCTGTTGAGATGACTCATCCAAGACCGCGGTGGCTGTGGCTGTATCAGTGGCGGCTTCAGATGTTGCCGGCGCTTGCTCAATTGCCGGTGCCGTCGTCGGTCCGTTCTCCGAAGGTGCAGTAGAAGCAGCCATAGAGAGAGAGAGAGGAGAGAAGAGAGAAGAAAGAGAAGTTAGGGTCTTTGGAGTTTGGAGATTGGGGAATAGGGTAGACACAGAGCAGAGCGACCGAGCGAGGGTTTTAGCCTCGGCCTTGCGGGATTTGCGAAAGTTCCACACGACACGAGTTTGTGGAACCACTTATAAGAGATTCTGATCCACTGTTGACGGTTTGATTGCCCTTGATCGCATCTAAATGGTATCTACATTGTCTAGCAAATTTATGTCAGTGACTTTTTATTTTCCCAAACTTACCATCCGATAGAGCATCATCAACAAAAGTTGTTAATAACATAAATGTAACTACCCTCTAATGGCATATCAGTCTTATGTCAATCTAATTGGTGCGAGGTATGATGGACGGGATTTATTAAGCAAAAGTTAAATAATAAAAATGGTAATTTACTAAAATACCTTTTATAATTTTATGAATTTAATAAAATCTATCGTGTGTTTAGCATTTTAATAAAACATCATTTATATTTTGCAATGGATTTAATCAATCTTCCATTAGATGACACTTAAAAATGACAGTTTTGATTCTAATATTCATTTAAATAAATTTAATCAAAATAAAAATACATTTTGTGCCCTTAATATGACATGGGCAACCACTCTATTGGCTATATTCGGTCAATTTTGTTTTCTATACGAAAAAAGTGTTAAAGGTATTTTTTGAATAAAAAATCATAAGACTAATGGCAAAACAAACACTCCTTAATGAAATGTTAATTAAGTAAATAAATTGTAAAATATATGAGATGTTTTAATAAAATGAAAACTATAAGGTAGGTTTAAGTAAATATGTAAAACTATAAGATGTGTAGGAATGGCAACGGGGCGGAGATCATATTCCCTGTTCCCGACTCCAATTTTGAAATTAACCCCCCCAATCCCCGACGGGGATGCGTCCCCCACAGGGACCCGAATCCCCAAAATGTTTTCAGATAATAGTATTTTTTAAAATAAATAAAAATTTTAAATTATAAATAATGTTTTAAATATGTTTTGATATACATATATAAATAATATAATAGTATGTTTAATATAAATAGCATTTAAGGTATATATATATATATATACAAACACAATTAGGGTTGGGGCAAGGCGGGGACTTCAATCCCCATCCTCGACCCCGACCCCAACCGAGGATTCCTATTAATCCTCGCCCTCACCCTTGCCTCGCCAAAATAATCCCCACCCTTGGCCCTATCAAGTTGGGGAAGTTAGGTCCTCGTCGGGGATGGGGAAATTACCATCCCTAAAGGTGTGTTTTAGTAAATGACCTTAACAGAAACACACAAGAGTAGGCAATTGTTTTATATTTTCAAGTTTTTAAATATTTAATAATTATTCATATTTTATACACTACTTTTAATAAAAAATTTATAATACAAAAATAACAATAATTAATTTAAGTTAGGTTTATTCAAAAACTTTCCAATTCGACCAAATTGGATCAGTTTCACTTTGGTCATTTGTAAACCGACCAAAACCAAATGACCTAACCGTGGGTATATACTAATATTCTATATTTTAAATATAATTGTTAATATGAACAAGTGAGAAATTTCCCATATTTCTTAGTCTAAAATATTTTATATCATAAATCTAATTTTTAAATTTATTTTTAATAAATTCATTGTAATTTTTTAAAGTTCGGTTAACTTTTTAAGTTTAAATCTTTTGAACAAATTGACTAAACCAAAAAATCGACCCAAACCGATACAACTTGAGTGGGTCAACTTTCACAAAAGGTTAGTCAGTTTCAGCTGACCAACTCCCTAACCTAACCAAATCAATTTGGTTGGCCAAATAGTCTACGACTAAACTGAACCAACTCATGAACACTCATAATTTCAACTAAATTAATAGTCTCATATATGATAAATAACAATAGTTTAGTATCCAATAATTATTAAAAATTTATAGTGGAAACACACAATTATTGAAAATATATCGATAATAAAAAATACAATGATTACATAAATTACAAAAATACAATAAGTACTAAAAATATATTAACTTAGTCAATAAATAGAGTAATTTTAAATAATAGTTTAATCTCTAATAAATATTAATTAGTAACTTATAACAAAAATAAAATAAGTACAATAAATTGAATTTAAAGTTTAAATCATAGTAATTTAATCTCCAATAATTATTGAAAGTTTTCTGTTAAATAACAAAACAAAATAAATTTATACATAATTATTGAAAATACATTTGTCACAAAAACAATAAATAATTACTGAAATACAATAAATATTAATTTTAGTATATATAATTATATAATAAATACAGATTAAAAGTTTAAACTTATTATTAATAAATATTATTTTTTTGAAAGTTATTTTCTTGAATTATTACTTGATATGAGTGAAATTAAATATTTACATTATTATGTAAAAATATTAAATTATTATTAATTTCAATATTATGTTATAATTACTTTTTTTACTTTTTAGATTTTTTTAGATTTAGTAAATAATTTATTTATTTTAACTATTTAAAATCTAGTTATGTTAAATATTTTTTATTTAAACATTTAGTTATTTAAATACTCAAATAATATGTAAAATATTTACATTTTAAAATATTAATTATTTATTGAATTTAATTATCCATAAAATCATAATTTATACTATTATTACATAATTTCATTATTAATTTTGTAATATATTAAATTGTTATTAATTTCAATATTATGTTATAATTATTTGTCTACTTTGAAGATTTTTTTTTAAATTTATTACATAATTTTGTTATTTTAACTATTTAAAATCTAGTTATGATAAATATTTAGTTATTTATATATTTAAATAATCTATAAAATATTTTAAATATTTTATTATTTATTTAAAGCTATTATATATTATTAAATATTTGAAAAAAAAATAAATTGATAATCCGGAAAAACATAATTTTAATTGTTAGAACATAATTTCGTGATATATTTTTGTAAAAATATAAATTTATGTTTTGTGTTTTAATAAATATATTAAAGTTATTATATAATTGAATATTTAAATAATTCTTAAATTTTTTAATCCAAACTTTCTTCAGATATATATAGATAAAAAGTAGGGGAGAGGATAAATAGGAACTAGAGATAATTTAGGAGATAAACTCTCTACTAAATTAATGATAAATTTGGAGATAAAAAGGAATTAGAGATAATTTAGAAGATAAATAGGAATTAGAGATAATTTTAGAGAAAGTGGGGGAGCTAGTTTAGGAGAAATTTTAGGAGAAGACATTATTTAAGTTATTGGGGAAGTGCATCTCATTGATTGTTTAAAAAATGACATGGAATAAAAAAACAAAAAAAAAGAGAAAAAGGAGAAAATTTCTTGACTGCTTTGTTTTAATATATTATCCGATATCTCCGACTCTTAAAACCCTAAACACCCGATGGTCCTGATCGACCATTATCAACACCTCGACCACTAGATCTGACACCACCATCAGACCTAGGACCTCCCAAAATACCTATCCATAAAATTTTAGCTCGAAATTCCTTTATTTACCCCTTCATCGAGCAAAAATTCCATTTTGATGCCTCACATTAGCCTAAACACTCATAACCCATATTCCCTTGATCTTGACACATCTGAAATGATCAAACCACACCGTTGAACTCCGGGTACATCAAAACACCTGCCCATAAAGTTTCAACCCCAGACTCCCCCATTTGCCCTTTTATCGAACCAAGATTATGTTCTAAAACATCCCATTGACCCAAATTTTTATGACCTTAGCCCCCTGAACTGATCAAACACCATCATTAGACTTCGAACACATTAAAACACCTGCCCATAAAATTTCATTTATGAGAGATGCACCACTATGAGATGTTCTTATAATGCTAGGATGATGATCTATATTTGAACAAACATTATAGCATCTCAACACGTTAACAAATGGGAGCTCTTGGCTAGGCGGTGGATCATGTCTTAGGCAAGCGGGTTGAGTAATTAATTTAATTAACAAATTTAAGGAGTGGTTTTTAACAATATGTTTTAATTAACCATAGATTTAATAAAATTTAATTAATAATAAGTTTTAATTGGTCACTTCCATTGTTTTAGTACTCTCACTTAACACCAAATTTTGGTTAACACTTAGGCTCAGTTTGGAAGGAGTATAAATGCAAATATGTAGAGTGCAAAATCTTATATTTTGTATGTATTTGCATTGTACATATTTGCATTTGTACTCATTCCAAACTGAGCCTTATGAAAATTAATTGGTTATTTGTACATTACCAATTAATATAATTAATAAACTTTTCAATTTTCTTGTGCATTGCAACGGGCGCTGCTAATATATATATTTAAACCAAACTTCTTCATTTGATCGAATAGAGAACACTGTTCATCTTATTCCTCCCAACAGCAAAACTAAACCTAGCGGCAACGACTCTCCCTCTCTCTCTCTCTCTCTCTTGTCTCTCTTGTTCTTTCTTTTTCTTTATTTCCTTTTTCATTTTCTTCTTCTTCTTCTTCCCGTTTTTATAGTCGCCATCACACCAACCCTTCTCTTTCCTCCTCTTATTTCTTATCTTATATTATCTTCTTTTGCTTCTTTATTTCCTTCTTTCTCTCGTTCATTTTCTTCTTCTTCTCTGCCCTCCCTGGTTTACATTGAATAGAGCACCTCTGCCATCCTCTCTCCTTTCCCGCCTCTCTCTCTCTTTCACACACACACTCCCTCGTGTTTTCTCTCTTTTCCTCTCCCCATTTTCTCTTCACTGAACCAGCAACGACGAATAGAGCATCATTTGTCTCGTTTCTCTTCCCTTCATTTTACTCTATGCTTCTCTGTTCAATTATCACCCCATCATACCCAAACGTTGTCACTGCTAATAGCTTTTTCGCTGATCTAGTCAACCTCCAAGGTATTGCTTATCGTCTTCATATTCTTGCATTATTGGAATTAATCCTCCATTTTACTCCATTCCCTATATCGTGACATGGACCTACGAACCATCACACTCGGCTTTGAAGCTCTTGTGCATTCTTCCAATAAATTTGACTCATCCTTGTAGCGTCATCTCTTGTTTGATGGCCATACCAACAAATCACATAGTTATTATGTCTTCTTGCTTGTAGGAATCATCTTAGATT